AGAATAGAATAGAATAGACTGAGTAGTTACCTGCACCAAGAAAAGTTCACAGTATTTTTTCATGTTTTCTTTTTTTCTGTCTAAAAGCTAAGCCAGTCCAGATTCCTGTCCTGATAACCAAGACTCCAGAGTCAATTATCACCAAAGAAGGGGAAAACGTAACGTTTRCATGTGATGCGACCGGGATTCCTGTGCCAACAGTAACATGGTCAAAAGCATTCTCTACTGAAAATTCATCTATCGGACACTCACAGGAGCGCAAAGCCAGACCTGGAAAGCYAGACATTTTATYATCTACTCTAACGCTTGTCAATGTGACGGSAAACGACAGTGGACTTTAYGTGTGCAAAGCAGAGAATCWGATGAATTCTGTTACGAGATGGGCGCAGTTGATGGTAGTTCGYCCACCGGTTTTCCAATTTACTACTAAACCTCCACCAGAATACACAGCTATAGAAGGTACCTCGTGATATTTTAATAATGATGAATAACAATCAGCATAGATGAATAAATTGCATTTGCGCACTGTTCAGGTCACCAAATCGYTCTTCMCTGCCAAGCCAGKAACGCTGAATCGATTCKCTGGACATCTTCAAATAAGAAGTTAGTAGGGCGAGCTGTGCAGCATAGCAATGGMACCCTTGTGATACCTATAGTCACACCTAAAGATCATGGAGTATACACTTGTCAAGCCCWGCGAAGTGCATTTGGTTCAGTGCTGCWAACGATCACAGCTTCAACACACTTGATGGTTATAGAAAGTAAGATTTTAGTTTTACATYGGATGCTGCAATCGTCGACAATTGTCATTTTAACATCCTTGGACCATTCCTGCGTATTTCCTCATTAGCAAGAGGGTCTCAATGGGGTTAACCGTGAGCCGTGAAACKRCTGAAAAATTAGCCGTGAGTCGTGAAAATGAGAAAAAATTAGCCGTGAGGCGTGAATATTTTTTATAGCGTGAGCCGTGATTCAGTATTGTTCCTCAGAAGGACAGTCAACTCCAGGCGCGCGCTTGTAATTTTTTTTAGTAAATTTAAAAAATAAAAGCTTTAGTGGATATTTATTCAAAATTTTGACTTGAAAAAAAGAAAAAAATTTTCCCCAAAATCTTCCACTCTCCCCCCTCCCCTGAAATTCTAATGGATCGCACCTACCAACAAGGTCTCCCAGACAAGTCAGGGCATGGACAAAATTTGACATTTGAAATAAAAAATTTAAATTAACTGAGTGTCTGTAACGTACAAGGGACACTGTGCTCCCACACTCACTGTATCTCTAGCACAAAACAAATTACATGAAAAAGTGATGAAAAACGTTGTTTTCATTTCAAAAATTTCTGAAAGTAATCTAGTTAACCGTGATTCGAAAAAAATAGTCGTGAGTCGTGAAATAGCCAAATTTTTAGCCGTGAGTCGTGATTCGTACCACACCATTGAGACCCTCTAGCAACGCCCGCAGACAATTTCATACCCCCTAACCACCTAAATTGAAATATTGTTATTGAACATCCATCAACCATCCAAAACAAGACCCAACATTGATGATAGGGGCTAAGGGATAAACTATGAAACGTTAGGCTGGAGATAAATAATTCTATGGTCCAGGGTTTTTGGCAACGATTGTAGCATACATTTCTCGAAAAGAAAATATGTAGTAAATATGATAAGCCAAAAATAATCCAGAATAGTAATTCACATTATATTTTGTGTTTGACTGACGTGAAAAGTTACCTTTGTAAATGTCTATACAGTTGTATAAAATTTAAGAAAAAGGGCGTGACTTTGTTTCAGTGTTTCCTGAATTTTTTGCGACTCACAGATTCTCAGTTCTCATACTCATTAATTATTCATGAGGTATCTAGCCAATCCCTGATTGTAATTTGTACCACGTGCTGTAACTGGATACCAGAGGAAGTACTCCTACCTTGTATTCTACCTTATTTCCAGTTACTTCCACCTTGTTTCTAGTTACTTCTATCTTATTTCCAGTTATTCTTACCTTGATTCTAGTTACTTCTAGCTTTTTCTAACTACTACTAGCTAATGATAATCAAAGTATTAGAAATAATCAACTTAATATAGAATTAATTTAGTGAAAAAAGGTCTTTGATAAATGACTCCCTCACGAAACGATCCCGAACCGTCCAATCTATATGCGCCGTCTTATACCWTTACACCACCGAGTTTCTGATGCGATTCCTTGGAAGATAACATACTTATAAAACTTATGAATTAGGCTCATTAGGAATGCCATGAAAAGCAAACAAAGACAATTTGAAAWGCTTTTGTTTCAGAAAGCCGTTCGGGAATTGGAAAACAACGAACGGTGCTTCTTTATTCAAAATTATGAAAACTGAAAACCTTGGTGGAGATGCAATAAATCAATATATTTCTGTTATTAGTATTTCCTTCGCTTTTTTTCCCTCCCGAATAATTAATGAGTATGAGAAGTCGTTCAAAGTCCTCCAATTCGGACTGGACGGGATTTCAAGTCCTTTCAATTAGTTCCAGTCCTCGGCTAACGCCTCGGACTGGAACTAATTGCGCGGACTTGAAACCCCGTCCAGTCCTCATTGTCGGACTTTAAACATTACATAAAACACAATATTTCAATTAGTTTTACATAGGTTGAATTAAAAAAACATTATTTGAAAAAATAGATTAYCTTTTTCAATGTTTGGCCAAAAATCGAAGCCTATTTTCTATCGCTTAAAAAATTTATCCAAACTAACCTGGAATTTAACATAAGTTTAGCCAACAAGAATAACCTTTTTTGAAATGTACTTTAATGACAGGCAGCCATGGCTTGGAACACTCCAGCCTTCTTCGCATGTATCCTGCCAGATACACCCAAACACTAATAGGTTACTTGGGTCCTGTTTTACAAAGCCGTACAAGTCGTTGGGTGAAGTGTTGGCATGCTAYAAATGATGGCTGGGACGTACTCAAGAAGTTCCACGCCCAATGTGATCATAAGGGCCCAACTGTGACGATAGCACAATACCGTGATTATGTGTTCGGTGGCTACACGGATACCAACTGGAAAAGTAAGTGTCTGTTTCACAATGATGCATTTAAGTCGCAGTTGAAAGATTATACATCAACTCAACCAAATGTTATTTTTTATTACTTTGATCTTTTATCACCCGTGTTACTGATTGTCCACCAAATTTGAACTTTACAGGCGCGTAGCGTGGACTTTTTTGCTAGTACGCACATGTCAGGGACCGCGACACATATTATGGATCTGGAGGGGTCTAACGACAGCCAAAGGCAGGAGTATAAGGGAGTCTGGACCTCCCCAGGAAATTTTGAAATAATAACTCTTAGAAATGCGATTTCTAGCGTTTTCAGAGACATCGAGGGTATATAAAAGGAATCAATTTTTTGATGAATTTTTCAGTAATTTTTGTCAAAATTCCTTGTCACTCTAGTACGCACGTGCGTATATGCGTAAAGGACGCTACGCGCCTGCTATATTTGAGATTGTATGACCCGAAATTGGATGTCCTATCAAGGCACTAAAAACACCCCCCCACCACCACCTCCCCCCGAACATTGTTTGGTGAGTCGAACATTTGATCAAACCAATCGATTTCTTGTATTAGCCACGGGTGGGTATGCTGGAGAATCAACATTCAAGTCGTTCCTGTTCTCATTGTCAAACATCCATGGCTTTCACCCTGTYAAGATGATTCTCCGAGGGTACGACAACTACGAGGCAATTTACAACAGTAAGTTCTTCGGTCCACGGTTTGGCGCTGGCACCGACATGAAATTGGTACGTAATTCATGGTATACCAAAGAGTCCTACATGAGACCAAGTACGTACTTTTCTCCTCCGGGGTGCGAGATTGACAAATATTGCACGTTCTATACGGGTACACAATATTTTAGACCTTATGATATTGAGGTGTTTTATGAAGTAACAAACTAACTCTGAGACMTTTCTGAGATAGCAGTTTTGCACTGCATTGTGGTCTAGATTCGGTACAAACATCTTTTGTTCATGCAGACAAATATGGCGTTGATTGTAATGAAGCTAGACCACAACGCACCATGATTTTGTMTTTCAGAAAAGGTCTATTTACATTCAACTAATAAATAAAAGCGATTGGTCGTTTTAGCAATAAAATATAGCAATAAAACTAGGTGTGACTAGCGACAGGAGTGGGGAATGCCATATAAGACATGAATTGTCATGTTAGAGTAGCCATTGATTAGTGTTTAATCATGCTAAGTTTATGAAAAATGTAGCWGTGACAATAGAGCGGATTTTGTATGACTGTGCAACAGCACGGATCACAACACGGACACGGCATGGGAACCTCGCCTTCTAGTATTCCAAATAAAAATATAAATTTAACAATACATCACCGCTACGGCACGGTACGGTCACAGCGCGAAAGTACCGAGTTTTTTGCACAGTCATACGAAATCCGCTCTAGGTACATGTAGCATCAAATGTATTGTAACAAAAACGTTTTTTTTTAATGGAAATAAAACTTGTTTATGCCATTGCAAGCCCGCAAAGACTTTGTCGTACCCTCGTACGACAAAGGGTACCCGCAGATCATTCGTTAATTACCGCTGAGCGCAAATACTTTAGGATGCACAATTCATCCATCGCGTCAAAGTCCAAAGCGATAAGGTAATCTCGTGCAAAACAGGGTACCCGCAAATGCTCAAGGCGCAAGTGATGTACTTTTTTTCGTTGAGATTAATTCTCGTAGCAAATAACAACAACAATAATCTATCAAGGTGAGTTTCGGATTATTACAGTGGACAATATGATAAAGAAGAAAAAAAAGGATTGAATTCTCAGTCGCAAAAGATTCATAACTTAGAGTATTAGTTTAACTATGAATATGCGAATCACGATTAAAAAACAAGATACCATACTTTTATTAATTTTATCAAAAGAGTGAACAATGTTTACCAGCGTAGCTTCATACGTTTGAAGTCCTTATTAAACTCGAACTCCATTTAARTAATCGCTTCTTAATTTAAGCAGTTGCAATATACAAAAACAATTCGTTTTTTTCAATAAATTACACTTGGGGGACATTTTGGTTATTTTGACTAACMGGATTGACTGGTTTAGCCGGTTTTGCACCCCGAGTAGCCGAATTAAGAATATCACCCGGATTTAAAACCAGTTCAACAGGATCGTCCAGATTTAAACCTTCATTATTACTGGCAGCGTCTTCAGGATATGAGTGAAAAACCGGATTGTCCGGACTAACTGGATAAGCAGGTTTCATTGGATCCCCTGGGTATGAGGATTTTTCCATAGGAATTTGTAGCTTTGGGAAAAACGGCAGAGATGCAAGGCTTGCAAAAGGATTTCGCACAGCGRCAGGTACTTTAGTCTTTACGGATGACTTGGATCCAGGAGCTGAAAAAGAATGTGATAAGAAGAGGTGATTTTCAAGTCGTTTTCAGTGATTCCATGGTYCACCAGCATTCAATGCGAAGACCGAAATTCCAAGACTGAAATGCATTGTTTTCATTAAAGTTCTTGACTGTATGGAGCTGGTTTGGTCACTCTGAAACCACGAAAACTCCTGGAATACACTATCTCCAGTATTCACAGTTGTCTGAATTAGATGTATGTATTTAACGTTGCTCGAGACAGAAAATTTAAACAAATACACAATGAGGTAACTCACCAAAGCTAACATCTCCACGCCTTACAAAGGCGACCATCGGATTATCATGRAGCATTTCTTTTGGCGCGTCCTTAGGTGAACAATAGTCAGGGTTCGTACAGTATACCGAATAACACTTTCCTGACGTCATCAACGCCACGTGACAATTTTTYTGYGAGCAACATTTTTTGACACAGGATTTCATGCCTTTGACCTAAAATATAAAACATAAATTATAGCCGTGAAACAACAAGAATAATTGTTTAAATCCGTGAAATACCTTTTTATGAGGTGTTAGTTTTCCTGACAGCATGCCTGCTCTAAGGGTGGTCTTCCTGCGTATTTTGCCATCCAATCGGCAAATGTTTTCACCTGGTTTTATCATCTTAACGTGCTTACCATCTGTAGCGAATATTGGAAAGTAAGATTACCGCTGGGGAGTGGGGTAAGGGTGCAAAATGTCTCCTCTTTTCTAATCTAATGGGTTTTTTTTGACATGTAATCACTTACCATCACGCACTGCMACACCAAACGTTCTCTTCACGATGTACTGCACAGTTTTTTGATGATTCTTTTTCGATGGTTTGTCGTTTAAACCTGGTGTCTTCACAACACGACATGCTTTTTCACTGTAGCACTTGACAAGGAAGCAGTTCTTGCCAAACATGTATGCGACGTCGCATTTTGCATCTTCGCAGCAGAGTCGCGTGCACGTATGTACGTTACTGACGGGTCCTATGTCTGTATAATGTCCTGCTGCAGGCCCGTCTAATAACTGAGAGTCCGTGTATAGTTTGCTTTGTATGCACTGAAGGTGATGGGGAGATTTGCCTGATGGAACTTCCACTGAAAAAAGAGTTTTGATTTTGGTTTTTAACRTGAAAAGAGAATTAATAAATGGAAGGTAAAAATCATAGKCGTAGAAATTTGTAAATCCGGCGTTTCCAAAATGKCCACTCAAATAGTTATTTTAGTGTGATTRTCGAMTGRTGTACAAGAACCATACCTATCTTCTTATTTTTCTCAAAAAGCCAAGGAGCAACAAACGCCATTTTTTGATTAAACGAGAAATCGACTCCACGGGCCGGGAGAGCCTGGCAACGATCCTCTGAGAAACATTTCACCAAGTAACATCGATCCTTAAGCATGAATGCCAAGTCACAGTCCACATTTGATTTNTCTTGGCATTAGGTATTGTCACAGCTTGCTGTATTACACAAGTAAACCATGGCAATCTATTTTAAATCACCTTTCCAATATCGGTGAATTTCCCAGCATGGAGTCCCGCCTTTAGTTTCACATTGTACAGAACCTCATTATGAGGACACTTGGCATCAGGATCAAAACGTCTTGAGTCGTTATTCTGTTTCTCAACTGAAAAAAAAACATATTAAGAAAATTTAAGTAAACTGCGTCATTTCCCATCATTTTGGACACTTACAACATATTCATATCGAATTTACAACCTTTAAAGCGCACGATTTTTTCCAGTGTATGCCCGAACCAATCGCTTCAAAAATAGATTTTTCCCGCCATGTCAAATTTTTAATATGATATATTACATTTTAATTTATGTAAATTCTACGCACTTCAGTCTTCGATTGCCTTTTGCAAAACTGTTGGGCTTTTGTTACATAAACTAACTATCTTTCCATCGCTTTTTATCTATCTATGATTACACTGAGAGCACTGTAAACGGTTATTCTCAAAGTTGAGATTGTTCAAATCCCGATTAATTCTAATCCTGGGATAACTGCGAGAAGACGAAGTACCCAACCTACCTACCTATGCTGTCAAAAGCTGCAGACAGCGGAAAAGTGGAAAAGCACTGTGAAAGCCCTAAGTGCCACACGTCACGAGGGGGACAGGTAAACAGGTAACAGGAACCCTAAGCTTTGCTCGGTAATTGAAACGGGACCAAAACTGCGGTGGAAAAACAAGTCACTTACCAAAATCATTAGGACCAGCAGGGCCAACCTTGGCAATCTGCATGTCTAAGTCACCTTCATCACCCGGCACAGTCTCGCATGAWSTGTCGTTATGACAACGAACACCAAAACATTTCTTCCCTGTCACCATGGCAACGTTACATTGTTTGTTCAGACAGCATTTATGAATACATTCTTGCATGTTTTTAACATATCCTTGATCTCTGAACACCCCAGCAAGCTGGCCTCCTRTTAGTGTTTTACCGTACTCGATGTCACTTTGTTTACAAGTGTATTCCTCTAAGATAGTATGCGCTGAAAAGTAACGAGTCAGTTAAGCCTGGATTTCACTAGCGACGCAGAGGCAAACGCAAGCAAGGGCAAAAGTTGCCTTTGCACTTGCGTTGCGTTTTCACTACCAAAATCAAGTGRAAGAGTAATCGCAATCTCAAGAAAAAAGGAAAAAAATTTATATCTTGCGCTTGCCTTATTACTGCGTTGGGCGGTTTTCACTGCGTTTGCACTTGCTTCTACGCCTGCTCTAGCGTCGCCAGTGAAAACCATTCTCTAAACTAGGTCTTATTCACGATAGGCTTTCATATTGTAATGCAAATTAGCCATTTACTCTTCCAGGAAGCGAGCATTATACTATAAGTACATGATGAGCTAGGGTGGCACTAGCCAGTTATAGAGTCAAAGTCTTTTGTTTTCTGGAAAATTTTCAACAATCGTCTAAGCAGGGTCCAGGCGTCCAATTTTGAGCGATCTGACTAGCTCTATACCACTATATATTTAAAAAAGACTTAAACATATTGAAAGAAATGTCAGAATTTTCTTGCTGTAATGAAAAAACCTCATATAATATTTTAAACTATTTTATGTGAACAAAATTGTGAGGGATGAGCAGTTTGTTAGGATCTCATTTTGTATCGAGTTGCATCAGATTTCAATTTTTGAAAAGACTTTTTTTAAAAGCGAATGCTAATCATTGACATTAATATTTTGATTTATTCCTGACATCCAACTGATAACTAAACTTCAACATTATATTATTGCATTAAAAACAAGCTGTCCAAATCACAATCGAGCGAGCTTTTTATATAAACTTTGTATGATAGAAAGGTCTTTACGATTCGTCTTTTAATCTGATCACGGATAGATATAAACACATCACTACGGCTTAACATATTGTAGTGCCAGTTAACTGGTTGGTTGACGAAAATGATCAATTTTAAACTTAAAGATAAAGCAGTGTCATTTGTAGTGCTGTTTTCGGATCCCTGTTTTCCATCCAACTGTTCTCGCTATCATTGGAAACGTGCTCATAAAATGGATCGTCTACAAAGACAGGCTAGTATTAAGAAGTAGAAGAAATATCTTTTTTGGTAACATGGCAGCCAGTGATGTTTTAGCCCGTTCGGATGCAGTTAAGTCATTACCATTTATGCCTCATAGGCGGACATTTTTTTGATGTCTTATGCAAGCTGTCTAGAGTAATACCTGAGGTTGGCCTTTCAGTCCTTCTAATTCAGTATTTTTTTCATAGAACTTGACAGATACCACGCTGTCAGTTGCTCAGCCAATAAAAAGGTCAATTCAGATAGTAAGTTATGGTATTGTCGGCGTACTTGGGTCATATCTCAGAATGGTTCTCAAGATGT